ATTAAAGGATGCAGTGTTAATTAATGGGATGGGCTGAGGAGAGCTGATGGTGGAGGAATAGAGTTCCTCCTGGAGAGGACTGATGCCAGGATAATCTGAAGGAGTTACATTTTCCCTCAGTGTTGACTGGTGATCCTTCAGATATGGCAGGAGCAACTCATGTTACAGTGTTCATGCTGTGCTAATTGCTGGTGTGATGAAACAAATATTCAGTAGCTGGAGCATTGTAGGCTCCCATGTTAATGCCAAGTTGCACAGGTGATAACATCAAGTCAGTGAATGCTAGTGCCTATTCTGACCTTTTGAGTGATGGTCTGAAGAGGTACTAAGAGTGAGGATTAGAAAATATTGTACCCAGTGTTCATTTTAACCTGTTAAACTGTTGTCTTCAGGCAGACATTTTGGATGTCAATCAGATATTTAAGGATTTAGCCATGATGATTCATGACCAAGGAGATATGATTGGTAAGTGCATTTGGATAATAAGTTTTTTCTTGGTTCAGTTACATGTTTTGCCAGTTACATGGATTAAACTTTGCAGTATTTTGTATTAAAAGTATTGTATTTCTGGCTATAATTTTTAAACACTGAAGCTCTGAAATATTTTGCAATAAGTTCTCCTGTTTTTTCCATAGATAGCATAGAGGCAAATGTGGAAAGTGCAGAAGTCCACGTGGAAAGAGCCAGTGAGCAGTTACAGAGAGCTGCCTATTATCAGGTAAATTCTGTGTGCTTGTTTGATTGTCAGTGTATGGTTGAGCACTAATGAAACAGAGGACTGCAGCACACCAGACTAGTTTTGGCACTCATTCAAAATTGCCTGCAAGGAGTATTTAAAGCACATGAGTCAAAAATACAGTATTGAAATTCACCTTCTACTTTAGAGTAAAAGAGTAGAAATAGTGTCTGGCACTTCACACTCTGCAAGCCTAAGTGTTTACCTGTCTTTGTTGTTAGGAGTTAGTAGAAGAAACAAGAACAAATTCTGATATTGTATCCAACTTGTAAACATATCAGCCAGGACCCTGACTTGCAAAAATCTTTGCCCAGACTCGAGTAACTTCTAGTGACCAGGATTTGCAACACTCCTGTCCAGCTGCTGAGTTTCTATCCCATAGTCTGTGCTCCCTGTCCCATGAAATCTCTTGCAGTGGCTCTCACTGCTGTATGGTATCAATGGTTTCTGTAGGTTCCTTTCGCCATCCTTGTCCCTGTAGGTCCAGCTTCTGTTAAGGGATAAGGGTTCTGCTTTAGTCAGTCCCATTGCTGCTGGGACTTACACAAGAAAATACTGGACTCTTCCAAGCTGTTAAGTGGGAGTTACTGGAGGGCAATAAAACTCCAATGCTGTAGAGTGCAAGGCTGGGAAGTTGGTTTTACCATCTGGCAGCATGTAATAGTATTCTCTCTCTCCATGGCTTCCTTGCCAAAGTTCTGAGGTATTTATAAATCTAAGTTTGGGAGCTGTTGGACATGTTTTGCCTGTGGGTTTTTTTTTTTTTCTGGATGGAGAAAGAAGTGGTTATGTATAGCTACCCTTAAATCCTTAGATGCCAAGTTAAAAATATTTGGTGTATATGGATGGACTGTAGTTTCCTGTGATGAATAAAGTGAGCAAAGCTGTAAAATTCAAGTTCAGTAACTGTACATTAAATTATTTAAATTGTAGCAATGCAACACCAAGCCCAAGTGGCCAAGGGGAGATTGTATGTGAGAACTGCTTAGGAGTTTGATTAGGATTACCTGAAAAATCTAAATAGCTAGAAAGGGTTGGCCTTCTCTGAGGCTTGTGTTTTCCTTAAGAGAAGCAAAACCTGTTGCAGTTTGACTTAACTGCATCTCTTAGACCTCTTCACTCCTAAAATTAAAAACATTCACCTGTAGAATCATGGAGTTTAAGGAACATGTAAAAGTGTTCAGACTATACTGGTTGCTTCTCTCAAATAACTGTGGGGGTACCAAGTGCTCTTGTTCACCCAAGTCAGTAACATGAATGGTAGCCTTGCTTTTTCCTCAAGTGTTCCTGCTGTCAGTGCCTTCTTTTCTCTCCTCTTATTAGAAGAAATCCCGTAAGAAGATCTGTATCCTGATTCTTGGCCTTGCTGTGGTCTGTATAATCATAGGATTCATTATCTGGAAGATAAGATGAAATCTTCCCATGGAACCCAGTCTCACAGCTGAGATTTTTTCTGTCAGAGCAAACAGGCTGACTAGTCTCGGAGATGAATTGACCACCCTGAGAGAGCACAAGTTGGAACTACTTCTAATAATAGATATTAGCAACTAATGTGCAGATAACTAGTATTTGGAATTAGTGAACCATGGAGACAGTATTTATCAGTTTATATACAAATTATATTGTTTTATGTAACTAAAATATCGTGGTTTTGCTTTCTGTAATGTGTTCTTCCCTGTCCCAGCTGTATGCTGAAGTGTGATCAATAATTGGAGATGTCTTGTTTTTTGACAAGTCGCACAACTTCAACATTCTGTGTGTGTAGGTAACTTTGTTGGACTGCAATGAGAATGACATTCAAAGACAGCCCACCACCAAGTCACATTATGTAAATCCAGCAGTTTCTAAAGTCTCCAGTATCTGCCCCATGGTTTTATTGTCTCCAAGTGGCTGTGGTTCTAGATTCTCTTGAAGAAAAGGATGTTGTCACAGATTTGAGAGGCAAGGAGGGTATGTGTGGATGATGATTTGAACCTCTACATGCTGGTCAGTTTAGCCTTGAGACTCATAACAGTGTAGTTTAATTTTTTTGGGTGTGATTGGGATTGTTTTTTCACAAAATGCATCACTTGAGGACAGAATGTTCTTTTGTTCTTTAACTTAGAACCTAACAGTGCAATCTCCTTAGACAAACTAGCTGGTCGCTTGCTAGTGGACAAATAAATCTCTTCCAATACTGACTCAAGCACTAAATATAAAAGGTTTAGCTGCTCACTCCCAACTGTTTTTAGAAGCTTCCAGGGGGAAAAAACACTTAAAAATGAGGAAGTGGGCACCTAAGTTTACAAGCTCGTAATATTAGTGAAGAGTGTTAGCAGAAATCTTGATTCTGAAGAAGTGCTCTTCAAGCTCACTTGTGGTGTTCTAGTAAATATTATGTGTGGCTTGTGAACATTTGGTATTTTCAATTCTTTATGAGATAGAAAGCGCAGAAACTGGCTGAGTGAAGTGCTAGGATTTTCAGACTGGGGATGTGTGTGCAAATGAAAAAGATTGCTGGTTCCAGCTCATAGGGTTGGGCAGAACAAGCAGCCACTCCCCTCTTCAATGTAGCTCTGAACTGACATGCACTGAGGGAACAGTAATCTGTCCAAAGCCCAGTGGGGGTGGTAAATGCAGCATACTGACCCATTTTGTATTTAATCCTTCTTCCATGTCTCGTCTGTAATAAAGTAAACGTGAAAGCTGGGAAGGGAGTGTTCTCCCAATTGCACAGTGGTTTGCACTATTGCGCCGTCATTCCATCTAATAATCATCAATAAACACTTTTAAAAGCCTCTCTCAGAGCTCATTTCTCTTGCAGTTTAGACATTGGCACAGGTGTGTTTGCAGTTCTCCCTCTAAGCAGAGTAGAGGACTTCACATCAGCGCAGTAGTGCTTCCTGCAGCTTTAGTTCTGTGGTCCCTGATTTTTCAGAATGAAACTGCCTGAAAACACAAAATTCATTTCACAAGGACATACACAATACTTCTGTGCAGAGTCCTGTACAATAGCTGACCCCAGAAAAATGAATCTCATACCTCAGAGCAGCATTGGGTCAGCTCTGACTACTTGCCTTTTGCTAGAACTTGGAGCCATTGGTGAACCTGTGTGATAAAATCTGACTTGAAAGCAAGGGAACTCTGCGTTCTGCTCCTTTTTCAAAGTTTTCCTTGGAAATGGTAGGAGCTATTGATTAGTGCATGCCTGCTGCCAGGCAGAGTCCTGTGGCTGTCACACTGCCATATGAGAACAAAAGCACTTAGCTTGTGTTTGTTTAGGTCACCAGACCTAACCGGGAGCATTATTTGTAGGCTCCATCCTTCTCGCCTGCTTTATTCCTCTGGAAACTGGAATTGAGGGTACAGGGTGCTGAGCTCAGCGTTTCTGTAACCGCTGGCCTCCCTTCTCCTCTCTGCACATGGCTGATCTGCTCAGAACGGGTGTTTTTAACACTCTTGGCTAATGGTCCCGAGCTTGAAAAGCCACCAGCCACGTTCTTGACAGCTGGTGTTGCTACAGCGTCCTGGCTGGGCTGTGAGCCCGACCCCTCCGGGAGGCTCTGGAAGCGTTCCGGGGAGCCTGGCCTGCCGTGAGAGCCGGGGAGCGAACGTGCGGTGCCCGGGCAGCCCGGGGCAGCTGCGGCCGCCGGGAGAGAGGCGGCTTTTCACCGGGAGCGCTCGGACCGGGCCGTGCCCGGGCTCCGCTCCGACAGAGGCGCTGCGCCGCGGTACTCGGGACGGGGGCTGGCCCCGCGCCCCAGGGCCGGTACCGGCGCTGTCCCTGTGTCTCAGGGGCGGTACCGGGGCTGGCCCCACGTCCCAGGGTCGGTACCGGGGGTGTCCCAGGGTCGGTACCGGCTCTGTCCCCACGTTCCAGGGTCGGTACCGGGGGTGTCCCAGGGTCGGTACCGGGGCTGTCCTCACGTTCCAGGGTGGGTACCGGCTCTGTCCCCACGTCCCAGGGTGGGTACCGGGGGGTTCCAGGATGGGTACCGGGGGTGTCCCAGAGTCGGTACCGGCGCTGCCCGCAGCTCCCGCGCGGAGCCGGGCGGGGGCGGGGCCATTCAATCGGGGCGGGGCAAAAATCAGGCCCCGCCCAGGCCGCCCCCCGCCGGCGGCGCGCGGGGCACGCCGGGATCGCCGCGCGCCCGTCCGTGCCTCCCATGGTGCCCCGCGGCGGCTGAATGGGGCAGAGCCAAGATGGCGGCGAGCGCGGCGCCGGCGGGCGGCGGGTCCCTGTTCGAGTGCCCGAGCTGGTGAGCGGCCGAGGGGCATGAGGGCCATGAGGGGCGCGGGGCCGCGCTCCCCGGGGCCGCAGAGTGCTGGCCGGGCCGGCGGGGTCCGGGCGCGACCCTCGGGTGCCGCCTTCGACAGCGCCGCGAGGGGCCCGGGGCCTCTCAAGGGTGCCGAGGCTTTTCCCAAGAGCTCAGACAGAATCCGTGCTGCGGTAGGAATTAAATATCCTGCTCAGGGGGTGTGTCCGGTACGGGAGATCCGTCAGCTTGAAACTAGGCTGGGGTTTTTATTAGCTTGAGGTCAGGAGCCAGGGCTGAGTGGCGTGCTGCAGGAGCGGCACCGGCACCGTGCCTTGCGCTGGGTTAGGGGCGGGAGAGCCCGCGGTGAAGGGAGCCCCGAAAAGCTCCTGCCTCGCCCTCCTGCCGGGAGCAGAGCTTGCCGTCAGCGTGCCCTTGTTCATTTGTTCTGTGGTTTGATCGTCGCTGAAGAGATCGTGGCTCTCCTGCCTCCTTTGGGTGCCGGAGGGATGGGATGGGATGGGATGGGATGGGATGGGTACTGGAGCACTGGGATGGGATGGGTGCCGGAGCGATGGGATGGAATAGGATGGGTACAGGAGCTCTGGGATGGGATGGGATGGGATGGGACGGGTAGGGTACTGGATCACTGGGATGGGATGGGTAGGGTACTGGAGCGATGGGATGGGATGGGTACAGGAGTACAGCAGCTCTGGGATGGGATGGGTACAGCAGCTCTGGGATGGGTACAGGAGCTCTGGGATTAGTACAGGAGCATTGGGATGGGTACGGAGCTCTGGGATGGGATGGGTACAGCAGCTCTGGGATGGGTACAGGAGCTCTGGGATGGGTACAGGAGGACAGCAGCTCTGGGATGGGATGGGTACAGCAGCTCTGGGATGGGTACTGTGGTGTTTTAAATCCCACAAGCAGCCCACGGCACCTGAGAGCTGGGGTTGTGTGGTCCAGCCCTGCCTGTCCCCGCAGAGCCCAGGCTGTCCCTGCTCACCCCGCTGTGTTGTAGCTCTCAGTGCTTTGTGACAGTGCTGATGTGTTGTAATTTAGAGCTGGTTTTTAAGTGCCTGCTTTAGTTGGTGAAGCCATTTCACCTTCTCATGGAAGAGAATTGCATTTTAGGGTCTTATTTGTGTTGAACATACACAGTAATAAACATCTACACGAGACAGGATGGTGTTCCATGAGATGATGACACAATAAACCAGATAAAGCCAAAGATTATTCTGGATATTCAGCTTGAAATTTGAAGTATCATCCATTTTTTCCCCCTAGTGTTTTTGTACACAAAAACCACAATATGCTTATATATTCCATGGTAAATTGGAATGACTTGTACCTTTGAAAGCTGTGGAGGGAGGAGCTGGGGAAACACAGCTTGTAAAATGCTCAGTCTCAGTGGCTTGCATGTTATTGCAGAAGAATTCCAAAAGAAATCCCATCTGGAGGAGAGGACTGTAACACCTGTAACTGTGAGGGCCTCTTCAGGTACCTGGTTTGTGTCTTTAGCAGGGTCTGACAGAGAGTGTCCCTGTGTCCCTGCCCTGGTTTGGTTCTGAAGCACAATCTGTTGTGCTGGATAAGAAATGAGGTGGGATCTGGGAGATGATCCAAACCCAGGGGTCAGGGGGACATGTTTGGGTGCCAGGTCGTGTTCTGTTCTCACATTTTTAAGTTTTTTTTGTAATTCACTTATTGCAACCTGAATGTCCTTTTACAGTAATATTCCAGAATAGTTCTTGGGTACAGCAGAGTTCCTCTCTGGACTGTTCCCTTGTACGTTGTAAGGAAACTTTATTTTCTCTTGGACTCTGTTGTATGTTTGCACATTGTGATGGTTTTAGGGACCATTTTTTGTGTGGTTGTAGCTGTGAAGTAAAGGAGTGCCCGAGACAATTTCATCTTGTCCAGTTGGCACATGCAGACATGGCAGCTAACACCAGTGAAAGCTTTGTGTTTTTCCTTAATGCTGCTTTTGAAACCCAAAACCTGTTTCAAAAGAGGAAAAATTAAAAAGTGAGCTAGCAGGAAGGCAGCCTGGAGAGCTTCCAGCCCCAGTGTTTGTGTTCTGAGCAGTGAACCCAAAATGGGAAGTGTTGGGTGGTGCTGAGTGCTGACAACCATGGCCTCACCCCTTGGAAGTGAGGAGCTCTCCTGCCAGGTGCATTTATTTATTCTGGTAATTTGTCTGTTCTGCTAAACAAGGAGAGTATGTTTCATGCTAAAGCTCTGGATGCCTTCTGCTGACATCTGCTGAGCTGCAGCTTCCAGCTCATGGTTTTAAAGGATTTGTTCCTTTCAGAGCCAACCAAAGAGTGCACAGTGATGTGGAACCAGTCTGGGCCTTTCCCAGCTAGGATTCTCCAGCCTGGAGGTGGTTTGCAGGAGCAGGCTTGGACCAGCAGTGGTGTTACTCAAAGCTTTGATTTCAGAGGATATAAAGATACCCTGCAGGAAGCCTGGTCCTGCACAAGCACCAAAAAGTCTCCTGTACAGGCAGCATTGTAGGGCTTCATTCCAAGAGTTTTGGGTGACCAAGAGCATGGAGTTGCAAAGTCTTCACAGTCAGAAGCAGATTCCTCTGTAGTGAATAATCTTCAGTCTCCTCAACCTCTATTAAAATCAAAATCACAGTCTTTGCCCATCTATTTATGTTCCTGCCTCTAAGGAAAGCTGGCTGGGGCCTGTGAACACCAATCATATGAGAAATACATCTTAGATATAATCAAAAGGAGTAGGTTTTTTTCCTTGCCTTTAAGTTGTTTTGAGGTTTGCCTCTATCATTTTACCTCTTCTTCCATAATTTGGATAGTATCTGAGTACCCCATTTCCAGAAAAAACTTCTGCACTGAAATTCCCACTTTTCATCCAATGTAGTTGTGGCTTTGATTTAGTTTTTTGTTGTTATAGGTTGCTTCTTCATAATCCATACAATATTTATTCTTTCTTTCTTTCCTTGTGTTTCCAGCAGCTAAACTTAAGACAGATGAAAAGCAGTGGTTGCCACCTTGCTGATGCCAGAACATGTTTCTGCATGTACTGTAACTCCTGTGTACATGTTAGCCAAGATTTGGGCTGTGCATTTACAGTTGGCATAAAGAGGGTGCCAATACTTCCTGTAGATTGCAATTTAGCCATTCCATGAAATCAGAAAATGTCTTTAGGTAGCAATTACACATCTTAGTTTGATAAAGGCTTTTGCAAACCTTCTGAGCTGGCTTTAGGTAGTAAAAGTGATTTCTCTGAGGTACAGGTTATCTGGTGTATAGTTTCAAAGTGACCATCAGATGTTTAGTGGATACTGCCTGCCTGTCCTTTTGTCCCAGTGTAACTTGTATTTGGAATTGTGACTCTTTCTTTATTCTCTTTGACACATCACTTGTGGGGATGTCAGGTTTGTCCTGGAATGAACACACATTAGGAATAGTTTGTTTGAAGGCACAAATTGTTTCTCTTTAGTCTCTTTGGCCAAGAGCTGGCTATTTCTGGTGATGCTTTTACACAGATTTCTGGAGAGTATGAGCTCCAGAGCTCTGCAAATTCCACCCTGTCCTTGAAATTGGGCATGAAGGTGTGTACATGAGTCACAGAGGCCATGATTTTTAGGAAGTGGCTAAATTTAGCTTCTGAGTCCCTGTTTAGAAACCCAAATAATTGACCTAATTTTAAAGTAACACAATAGAATTATGACTGTGCTATCTATCTCCTTAATTGCAACAATTCCAGATTTCTTGTAGTGTTTTACATCAGTCAGGCTGCTTAGTTTCAGCTGGATATAGATATTATAACCCTGCTGGCATGTCAGCATTGAATCTGCACTGTAGAAGAGATCCTGATTTGTAAAACTTCAGTTCTCTTACTTGGCACATTCCAAAGTGCTAATGGCCTTGTCCTTCTTTTCCAAAATGCTTTATCTTTGTTACAGAGACATGGCCTGGCCTGTGGAGCATGAGGTGGAGAAAGTAAGGAAACACAGTTTTCTGTTTCTAGTACAGAAGAAAGATTTCTTTGCTTGTAGTTATTTAGATCTTTTAAAAATCTGTGCTGGAACCTGGTTTTGTTCATTGGTATCCCTTGTAAATATTTAACTGCTGATCATTGTAAGCAGTTGATGTCTTCTGTAAGGCCAGCAAATGCACGTGTGCAGCTGCTGTGGGGAATCCCAAGCTGGGAATGCTCCTGTTCTCCTTGCCAGTCAGCTCTGTTAATTCTCTGGAAGGCTTCACATCCCCCCCAGGAGTTTCAGGATGCAGGAGACAGTCAGAGCATCCTGGGTCTCAGTCAAACTCACTCAACTAGTGACCACCACACTCAGTGCATTTGCAGGTGTTATTTTCAGGTAGGTCACTTGCAGGATGCTGCCCTGGGGAGGCACTGGGGACTGTGATGCACCATCTGGAAAAGAAATTGCTTTTTTCTCATTTTCAAGCACAAGCATTGTGCTGGAGCCAAGTTGTGATAGGAGAGTTTTGGCCTTGGGCAGTGCTAAGGGCTCTTTGTGTTCTGTAGAGAGGACAATCTGCTGACCTCAAGTAATTCTTCACCCTTCAGAACAGTGTAGGAAAATTAGTTTAGTGGATATTTTGGCACTTAGTGGAATTAGTTTAGTGGAAAAGGACTTTTTTAACATTGGGCATAAAATGGGGAAAAAACTGCTCTCCTGTAACAGCGTAAGGCCAGCTTTCTGACACTTTCTTCTAGGAGATTTGTGCAAGAGATATCCTTTCATGTTTTACCCCTTGATCCATGAGGTGAGAGGTCTGATGGGGCAGAGCATGTGAAGGGTGACTGATACTTCCAAATCCAAATTCTTCTGATCTTTGGTGGCTGTGGAGCCAATTAGTTTTGAATATAAAACTGAACAATCTTTCTACTTTTTCTCATTAAAAGGCTTTTCAGGGTATCTAACTTGGGCAACCTGAGCTGTGACATTGACTTAAAATGTTCCAAAGTAGTTTTCTATCAGAAATTACTTCTTTGAATTTGTTTTCATGGTATCATAATCAGTATTTACAACCTTCCTGTGTTCAGTGTTATGCAGGAATAGATAGAAGGGGGAAATACTGCCTACAAAGGATTCTCTACAGTCCAAAAGAAGCCAGAGAATAGGTAGATTTTTCTAGCACTTTAATTGACAGCTGAAGGCACTGCCTTGTAATACTGCCGAGCTTGGTTTATC